TGAAGCAATTTTTTTTTTCAATTTATCACGAATTTCGAGAAGAACAAGTAGTTTCCATGAAAAGCTACATATATGCTAGTTGACATCTAATGGATTCATTTGCCTTTATTATTTATAGGTATTGACCAACATTTTGGAAAAAAATGAAGAAGATGAAGTAGAAAAGTCATTAATACTAAAAAATAATTATATACTTCCAATTCATAAGAAAATCATATAATTTCATTTCGAAAAATTTAATCTCATCCAAATTTGTAGTTGATTAGACTTTCCACAATTCTCGATAGAAGGTAACTTTTTTTTGAAATCTTTTTTTTTTTAATAAGTTGTATTTAATAGTTGTTTTTCTTGACATTTCATGACGTTCTCGTCATTTTAAAAACTGTTATCAACATTTGGACCATGTTTATTTTGACACCGACACTTCATTTGTTTAGAACGAGATTTCGTTATAAATATGAGAGTTCTCTACATTTCATAATGTTCTTGACATTTTAAATGTATTTACCCATTTATAAGGAGAAATGAATATTTAATGCATGATTGACACTGTACTTTTTAAAATAAGTAGTATAAGTTATGTGTCAAATTATTATCGGTCAATATAATTTTTAATTATATAAATAATTTTGTCTTTATTGTGGAATTTAAAATTGTTAATGAGGGCATTTTGATCTATATTATAGTAAATGGACATTGAAGAAATTTTGGATATTTTTGCAAATGATTATATAAAGTGGACATTTTTTGTAATTTCCTCTTTGTTTAATGAAAAAAATACATAACTATTCAAAAGTGACAAACTTGTGATTTTTTTATTTTATTTTTTCAAAAATTAGTTGGTATTAATTAAATTGATAATTAATTAATTAATTAAATATGTTAAGGTCACAATAATATACAATTATTTACTGGTCACAATCATGGAATGTTAAAGTCATAAACTCACAAAATATGACCACAATTTATACATTTTTATATGTCGCAATTTATTTATCGATCACAAATTATTAAAATATTTGGTCACCGCTTATTTATCGATCACAAATTATCAAATTAATTGCTAACAACTTATTTACCAATCACAAAGACACAAATTGTAGGTCGCAATTACAAATTTAATAACAAATCACACATTTTTATGTTATATATTATTTTTTTGTCACAAATTATCAATTTTATTGGTCATAGTTATTCAATAATAGGTTGTAATCATTCTTCATATGACTCACTTCACCATACCACCCAAAACGCCATTACCACCTCAGCACCACCATTGCACCATCATCATTGTACGAAAACGTTATTGCTACTTCACCACCACATTTGTACTTCCACCATACACCACCGTTACGGGGATTTGTACATCAACTCTTGCTTTTGTATTGAAGTCTTGTTCAATTTAGTGGCGTTCAAAGAAGG